ACTCTTTCCACAAGGACTGATTCTTCCTTCTCTTCTTCTCTTGGTCAGTTCTTAGCCAAGGTAGATTTCACTTCCTCCAAAAGCCTTCCCAGATCCTCCAAGCCAGGGTTGGGTGCTCCTAAGGCCAGCACCCTCTACGTATCACTGAATTTTTCAGGGAACCACATTTGTCTTCTCACTTGGCGTTCTCCAGGCCAACACCTGCTACGCCTTGAAAGCTGCTTCAGGACCGGAACTGGGTGTTACTTGCTGTTTTATCCCAGTGCTTGGCACAAGGTAGATGCCCCCAAAAATGTTTGCTGAAGCCTGCTGTCAAATCGGGGACAGTGGACCAAGAAGGTGGCTTGGGACCCATTGCGAGGACTCCCAAGGGCTGTGCCAGTGAGTGGCGACTCTGTCTTTCAATCCAAGTTAACTCAGAAGGTTCCATTTTAACTGATTCTGGAAAACAAAAGATATAGCAAATAACACTTCGGATGAAACTGATAGTTATTTGCCTTTTAAAAAAATGCTTCTTTCAAGAGTGTGATAAACCCCCAAATCCGGGTTTGCGAGAATTTGGATTAGGTCTTGCAAACACTGTATGAGTACAGCGTCGGTGTTTTTCCACTTGTCGGGCTCCTGCGGAGTGGATGTGTGGCACATCCGTGAAGTCAGCCTTTGGCAGCCGTAATGTGTTTCTGTCCCACTGCACCCCGGACTTAAGCTGACAGCGTGCCAACCATGGGCTGTGCTGCTACAGACCAGCTCATCTGCTAATAGGTGGTGCACGTGCTGAGCCCTGCAGCCAGCCCCACACGGGGCAGGGCTTTCCTCAAATTCTCCTGTCAGCTGCTGGTGGCAGGCGGCAGAGGTAGAAGAGCACTGTCTCTAGGCTCGGGGCACGTGAGCTGCTGGGTGGCTGTAAGGGATGCCCTGGGCTTTGCTTAGGCTCCCATCCGGAGCTCAGCTCTAGGGAAGCTGCTTTGCCTCCTGGTTCCAACACTGCCATCAGCCTGTCCTGTGTCGTTTCTCCACCAGCAATAACTCTTGCACACTTGAATCCTAGAATGTTAAAGCCATAGTGGTTTTAAAAGACGTCTAGTCCGGAACTTCCCTGGCGGTCCAGTGGTTAAGACTTCGCCTTCCAATGCAGGGGGTGCGGGTTCGATCTCTGGTCGGGGAGCTAAGATCCCACATGCCTTGGGGCCAAAAAACCAAAACATAAAACAGAAGCACTATTGTAACAAATTCAGTAAAGACAAAAAAATAAATGGTCCGCATCAAAAAAAAAAAATCTTAAAAATAAAAAAGACGTCTAGTCCAAGCTCTCAACATCTTACAAAAGAAGAAACCCAAGGCAGAGAGACGGTGAGCGATGCCCAGAGGGTCGGTCACCCTGGCGTAGCTGATTTACAACCCAAGCAGAAACACCCTCACCCAGCACTGTCCCTCACCCAGCACATGATGCAGACAGAAAATGGCATTAAAAAAATTTTTTTTTGATGTATTTTTTTTAACATCTTTATTGGAGTATAATTGCTTTACAATGGTGCGTTGGTTTCTGCTGTAGAACAAAGTGAATCAGCTATACGTGTACATACATCCGCAAACCTCCTCCCTCTTGGAGTATAGTTGATTCACAGTGTTGTGTACTTTCTGCTGTACAGCATAGTGAATCAGTTACACACACACACACACACACACACACACACACACACACACACACACACACACACACACACACACATCTCCATTCTTTTTTAGCTTCTTTTCCCAAACAGGTCATTACAGAGTATTGAATAGAGGTCCCTGTGCTATATAGTAAGTCCTTATTAGTTATCTATTTTATATATAGTAATATATATATAATATATACTATATAGTATATATAGTAAACTCTCAATTTATCCCTCCCCCTCTTTCCCCGCCTGGTAACCATAAGTTTGTTTTCTACATCTCTGACTCTGTTTCTGTTTTGTAAATACATTTATTTGTACCATTTTTTTTGAGATTCCACATATAAGCGATATCATATGATATTTGGCCTTCTGCAAATGTCATTTTACATGTACTAGTAGCCACAAAAACAAAAACAGAAGCAAGTGAAATTCATTTGAGTAATATATTTTAGTTTACCCTAGATAGCTAAAATATTATTTCAACATCTCTACAATATAAAATTAATGAGATATTTTATAGTCTTGCTTTCCTACTAAGTTTTTGAGGTCTTCCACTGACACAGAACAGATTGGACTAGCCCCATTTCTCCTGCTTAATAGCCACATGTGGCTGGTGGCCACCCTACCAGACAGGGCAGCTCTATAGCTTGTGTTCTTTCTGCCCTGTGGGCAAGTGGGACCTTCACAAAAAGCATTTATTTGTGAAGATGGTGAATATTTAATAACTTGCCATTATTTAACCGCAAGGGGTGACTGGCCTTGCTTAAGGTCACAGACTAAAAAAGATTAGTTTCCATCCATTCTTATTTATTTTTCATATCTTTTTGCTTAAAATAGTATTGATACTACAGGTAACCATGTCAGATGATTTTTAGCTATCAGTTGGAAAAAAAAATTCCCTGGAGAGCCTGAAGTAATTCTAGAATTGCGTGGGAGGCTCCTGTTTTGTAGTTACATAGTAACCAACTTATTAAAAACATTTGGGTGCTCCCCAAGCATTCAGAGTACCTTCAGTCACGTAGCGCTGATAAAATCTCTCAGCTTATTATTAGGCTCTGAGCCCTGTTGAACTATTTTGGTAGAAATATTTGAGAAATTTTCACATTAGACTCAAAGAGTATCCTAAACTGAGTTGTAAACTCTCTTCTCTTCCAAGTATGAGCGAATGTTCCAGAGTCATGATTCGCTGAAAAAACAAAAACCAAAGCACCGTGGCCATCTGCAAGAAGGGTGCCCTCTCTAATTTTTGAGAGGAGTTGGATTTGGAAAACAGTATCTTACTTTCTTGAATATATCACAATTATCTAAGAATCTTAAAACATAAAGCATTGCCATTTAGTGATTGTGATTGCGCAAAGAATATGGACAACCA